CATCCTTTATTGTTCACATATTTGCGTTTCCATTTCTTTGGAATATCCTCTGATCAGGTATTAGGAAGGAGGAGTATATTATGATGAGCGTTATGCAATATGCCATAGGTTTTGCATAACTCGTTACTGTCATCAATCCATCTGGTTTCTTTCTTAATGTTATTCATCTACTTTTATGTAACGTGATTGCGTCTCTAGACATAACCTACGTAATGCACATATGCCTATTATATCTTTTTCTATTTCTCTCGCTCTCTCGTGTGCATGTATATAAAGCGAGTACATCGTATTATACATCAAAACTGGAACAGAACTGGAAAATTAGAGAATGGAGTAGTGTAACTAACATCATGTATACACCGAGGATGGCGGTAACGCTACTCTTCCAGTTTCTCTTTGTGATCACAAATAAAAATAAAAGCTGCAGCAGTAACGAATATAAACTATCCACTTATCATTAAACAAAATTCGTTAAAGGCTGTTTTTGCACTAGCCACTGGCTGCAATATAAATCTTATGTCGACAAACACAAGTGTCACCATCAGTTACCATTTACCGTTATTGTTCTTCGTACTGTACGAAGAAAGAGGGGAAAAAATGAAAACATCGGTATTTCGAGACAATCTCATTGGATAATTTCGTTCGTCAGGGACAAAATATTGGAGAAAAACAAAGTAAGAGATACAGACAATGCGAAAATTTAACATACTCCATGTATATGCATATATATATAAGAGGAATATTTGGTGTTTAGAGTCATAGTTCTCGTTTGAAGTTTTACTACTTCACTCGTTGTTTTGACCACGACTCATGTTTATACAATGACTTTGGAAGACAAATCTGTTCGACTGTTTTCTAAATCATACTGGTTGTCACAAGCTAATTGCTGATATTGTTAGTGAACAACGTCATATTCTCAGTTTCAAGTTATCAACAATATTCGACTGGATCCGATCGGTTGAATTTTACCCTGAAAGCCCGCCCGAAACCCGTAATTCTATTTCGCATCGCATTGCGCACATTGAAAACCGAAATTTTGTTCAAGTAGATTCAATTCATCAATTTAGCATTGCCTATTCATAACACAAGTCGAATTTTTGTTATTACTCCATTTTACTGAACCAAATTTTATAGAAAAAGACCAATCTGAGACTCAAAAAGTTTGAATCCTTATGTTAGCAAAACAACGTTCTTGACTATTCAGTATAAATGTAGTTTTCTAGATAGCTTTGTCATATGAAATCGGTTTATTTCGAAGCGATTGGCAAATAATTTGACGTGATCAAGATCTGTCGAGCTCTACTTCAAAACCAATCACTCGATCCGATGGCAACAATGAATTTATTATCGAATTCATCTATCCACAGATGATGCCAATAATTTGCTAGATAGTAGTCCAGATGCTTATTCTTCCCCTTCTATTGTCTGTACATGGGACCATGCATGCATAGTTTTTCTCTCTCACTTCTCTCTTCTACTCTCACCCTCTTGTTGTTGTTAGTCAGTGTGTGAGGCTTCGAGGCAGTAATAAACAAGTTACATAGGCCGCATCCCGCTACCTAACCCATTGATGTATATTGACTCCCAGTGAAACAATAGCAATTTATCCAAATTCACATGAATATTGATAGTAAATAATTTTCCGATAATGAAATCAATGAAACACATGCGCTTCGTGAAGCTTATATGCCATTAGGGGTGGACCATTTTTTTTAACGGAACTTAATTAATGGCATTAATTAATGACTTCCATTAGCCATTAATATTAATGGTTAATGTTTTCTAAGAAAAATTTAATTCATTAATATTAATGATTAATGAAAAACATTAACATTAATTTTAAAATTAATGTTTTCATTAATCATTAATATTAACGTCAATGTTCTTGAATGATATTAACGGTTAAAGGAAACATTCACCATTAGTATGAATAGTAATGTTTTCGTTAATATTAGGGATTATATTTTCATTAATCATTAATATTAATGTTAATGTTTTNCATTGATTTTAATGAAAACATTAACATTAATATTAATGATTAATGAAAACATTAATTTTAAAATTAATGTTAATGTTTTTCATTAATCATTAATATAAAATTAATGTTAATGGCCCACCCCTATATGCCATTGTTAAATTCTTCTCCGTTACTACACACATATGATCTCGTCTTCTGTGCAATGCAAAATTCAGTGTCTCTTCCATTCTTTTCAGGCATTATTTTCTCTAGATATGACTACCCAGGTCGAAAAATCTGACACAAGATCTTATGAGATCTTACAATATGATTGCTCAACCTGGGTAGCACCAAAACGAAGACGACGCGTATAGTGTGTATTAGTGATACACATTCACGATATGGTTATGCACTTCCGGCTGGTTATATTCTTGTTTATGCAGGCGATTTTTCGATGACAGGCGAGCAAAATTAAATTGAAACATTTCTAACTTCTCTCAAATCTCTTAGGCAATACCGATTGAAAGTATTCATTGCTGGTAATTATGATTTGACCTTGAAAGCAGACTTTCCCGAGAAACATTGGTAACGATGGCATTATGGTCGAAAACAAAATGCTGAACTTATCCGACAGTTTATATGCGATCCATCTGCAGCAACCAATTATGGAACTATCTATTTGGAAAAACAAGCTTTTATTGACAATGTCACTGGTCTGAAATTTTACGGCAGGTATAGTTGTATTTCTCGTCGTACGTTTGAAATTTGTTTCCTTCGTTAGTCCGTATCAACTAGAATTTAATAATTGGGCCTTTAATTTACCGAGTAACAGTATCGAAATCAAACAAGCTTGGTCTCAGATTTCGAACGATGTCGATGTTCTTCTCACACACGGCCCACCTGAGAACATTTTTGATAAAAATAGTTTAGGCTTACGTACAGGATGTGCTCAGTTGCTTGCACGTGTTAATATTGTGAAACCTCGTTTACACGTCTTCGGTCATATTCACGAAGGATACGGAAGAATCGATTCCGATTCGACTATATTTGTAAATGCATCGACTTGTGATGTGAACTATCAACCGACTCAAGGACCGATAGTGATCGATTTGGAATTGAAGGATAAAAATTGATACGATTCTATTCTTGAACATGTTAATATGCTTGATATGGATTGAAAATGTAAAATTTTTTCATTAATGAAATATTTCTGCTTCTCATGATTTGAGTTTTCAATCGAGATCATGAATCAAACAATTTCACAGAGTTCAAGGTCCTAGTCACCTAACGAAACTGGAAAGGTTTCAAAAGCTGAAAACGAAATGTATATCGATCGTCGACAATCAACTCTTCATCTATGATAGGAATTTTCATCCCCTTACTCTCAAATGTAGAAGATCATTTTACGACTTGAATTGATTAATTTAGTTGTGAGTCGAGTAAGAAATCACCTGATTTCAAGTTATTTTTTGTGATTATCTGTGCTTGCTGATAGTTCGCAGTCATTTCTGGTAGCTTTTTACTAGGTGAAAATCACGGATTAGTTGTTGTCTCCTTGAGTGGATTCCTGTCGTTTATTTCCATGAAAAGAAGATTTAAATAGTGTACCGGGAAAAGCTAACATGACGTATAAAAATGCGTGCACCAGACATAAAACCTTTTGTGGGGTACAAACAAAGGCGTAGAAAGGAGAAGGGTTAATGGGGCTTTAGTACCTGGTTTAAGAAACAAAATCCACGTAAGGGGTAAAGGGATGTCGCTCGTGCCCAGCGAAAAAATGTTTTTTTTACCGCGGACAGCCCCTCTGTCTGAAGATTCCTAGCTACGGGCCTGGGTGCAGTTGGCAACCCTGGGCAATATGAACACCGGAATGTGAATCGTCGCTACATTCTTGATTATTTTGCTCTGAACAGTTTCCTACGATTCTAGCAGAATGATGGTGTGAGAATGGGTCAATTAATCTGCTTTTGAATACAACTCTCTTATTCATCATCGAGATGATTCTTTTCTTTGAAATTTTCATATTTTGTACAAAGGCGCCAAACTGGTCAGACTTTTGCTGACCTGGCCCGGCCCGTCAGAAGCTTTGGTTCAAAAATATCAGCTCGTCTGGCTCGAATGTTTTCAGCTACTCTTCTAAATGAGTATAGATGGGTATCAATATACATAGTAAACCATGAGGACCTGTCCTTGTTCTCTAGACTGTGTTTGACAGCAATCCTTTAGGTGCTTAAATATACTACCGATTTTCGTATGCAACATGACTCTTTTTTAACAAAGTACCGAATGTTGCATAATTTGATGTCATTACTGTTTGGCAACAAATACATAGGCTGCATCGTTTGCCACTTGCACATCCTATGGGATGCGATGTGACGCTCCTACTGAAAGAATTTTCCTCGTTCTCGTCAATTTTAAAGACCATAACTTTGATCTAAACACGAAATGTTTCCTAACGCTTTAGATGAAACTGAGCAAGAAATTTGAACTGGAGTTAGGCAACAATAGATGTTGTTTTCTAGAACCTCAAGGGTTTATCTGACCTCGAAACAAAGGGAATGGATGTGAGTGCGTGCTTCTGTTTAGTCAAATACCTACAACCCTACCCACACCCTTCATGCATAAAGTCAAACTTTTAGTTCTATTTGACATCCCTGTCAAGAGTTACGAACCCATCTTTGGACATACCCTCGGATACGATTTGATAAATTTAGATAAAATACAGAACATACTTTTCCACACTTTCTGACAACATATTTTGAGGGCACCGGTGTGGTTGTACGTGTATTTGTACGTCAAAGGATAATCCAGACCCACACGCACACCCGCACCCGCACCCGCACCCTCGGTTCGACTCAAGTTGGTTTTCGAAAAGCCGGCTAGGGATAGGATGCGTTTAGCGAAGAAAAAATAAGTGGAAGTTGTATTTTTGCAGTTCACCCTTTAACAGACACTTATTTTGACTACTCTTGAATGAGTGACTCATTTGGAATAGACTAGAGCAGTTGTTCGAGTATATCAGAAGATTTTCAAACTATTGGGTAGTAAAGATCCGAAGGGAAACGAACTTATGTGATTCTGATTCAGTTCAATTACGAGCTCTGATACTAGTGCTAAACTCTGTCATATGTCTGTGTATATTGATACGGATACAATGTTATGCAAACATTAGCAAGAAATTCACGAAGGTTTTTTCGTTGATAAAAATAAGGCGAAAAGTTAATGATCACGCATTATTTTCTTCTGTACTTTTTGCGCATGTATTCGTCTACTATTGGATATATGTTCGCTTTGATATTTGCTTTACTGGCGGATGGATTTTGAAAATGTTGACGAATTTGTGTTGAGCTTACATCCGTTAGTTTACCACGTTCTTTCGATAATGGAATGTAGATGACATCCGATGATTGAATTGAACGGGTAATTCGCTGTTCTTCGTATCCCGTACGGTAAACAACAGCACAAGACATGTTAGGTTGTTTTGTCATGTTTTCAACATAAGAACATTTATTGAAATGGTCTAATCCACAGACATATACTACACACAGTGGATAGCGGAGAACATGTTCTTCATCAACGAGTGTGTTATTCAGGAAATCTCGCAGATTTTCAGTGACAGGGCCAAAATCTACAAATCCATCGGCCCATTCACTTTCACCTCGAGAAACTCGAAGCCAAGATGAAAGTTCTGGGCCTTCGTGCTCGATAGCTCCTTCACAAAGTCGACAACGGTCTTTAGCAGGAATCCAATCAAGTTCGCCCAATTTCCCATGCACATACGAATCACTCAAACAAACGGTTTTAATACATATATTAGATATTAAAGAAATTGATAGCAACTTACTGTGTTGGTGACAGATATCCAGCGAGGACGTTCCATCGAGGTTGATGCTCGCTTTCAAAGTACTTTTTGACACGTACAAGGTTTTGAAAATGTAATGGATGAATAGGATTGAAGGAGCCAGTCGTTAGTAAGACACAGCTGTACTCAAACAAAAAACAGTAACGATGAAATTGACCAACACAGGTACGAGGGTTTGTGGCATCTTCGAATCGGAATGGGAAAAATGAAACTGCAATTGGGTCTTGGGTCTCATCTTTCGATTTATTCTTCTTTCTCTCTCTTTCCGTATGTCTTACGTTCACAGATTTCGAAATTCTATATCCACAATTCTCCAAATAGACAATGAACAGATACGAACATAAGACACACTGAACAAGCAAGATAGAAGAATAAATAAAAAGACGATACACAACACTCAATTTGAATTCAAATATTTTCCAATTCCGATTCCGGCAATTCCAAGTCTATTATAGTCTAATTCACGTCCCTTCCAATTCCTTTAAATTCTGGCTATCAATTCCTCCCAACTCTGAATCAATTCCAGTTTCTAATTTTTCAATTCAAGGTAATTCCAAACCAAGAGTTGGAACTGGAATTATTTGGAATTGGTGATTGGTGGGTACCTACACACCCGCGAACGCACTCATAACTTCAATACTTGAATACGTTTCTTTCCAAACCTTTTCCTGTTCGAGATCATAATGGTTCGAAATTTTATATTTCCAGATTGTTTTCTATTGAAAATTTTTCTTGTGATATCAGACATCAATTGAGTTGAGCCTCCCTGATGCTAGAAATTCCCATGAGCGAAGACTCATTGAATAAATAAATAGGCGGCCTTGAAGAATATTTCGCGGAAAAAACATCGAGAAAAGGATATTGCTTCAATAGCAGTGGCGTCTCCAAGCAGATGCGGCGCGGGCGGTTGAATCTATCTTGGGTGTGGATGTGTGTGGGTGCGGATGCGGATGCGGATGTGGGTGTGGATGTAGGTGGGAGTGGGGGTGTGGGTGTGAGGTGTGGGCATAAGTAAGACTCAAAATTGAGTGGATGTAGAAAACAAAAAAGGAGTAGTTTTTAAGATGCATAAGCAATTTTTCTGATATGCTTTCTCAAGATGGCAAAAACAAAAATAATACTTTCTTAGACTGTAAAGCAAGTTTCATCATAATCACAGTCACCTGCAGCCACATCGACCCTTTTTAGAATGGATGTAAATATTAAGGTGATTCGAATTCTATTCTGAGCATCACATGATTTTAGAAGAATCCTTTGTTTTGGATTATAATTGATTTCAGAAAATAATCTATTTGTGTGGACTACAATTAATATGACTCGGTTTTAAAGAAATCTCATGTTAGTGATTATAATCGATTACAGAATTTAATTCCTTTTCATGGATTATAATCGATGTGACTTGATTTCAATCGAGAAAATATTAATCAAGTCATGATTAAAATTGATTATAACTGGAAATCGATTCTACTTGATTAATAAAAAATCGAAGACGATTGGTTGAATTCACTTTAATCGATTTTAATCGGTTGGAGCGAATAAAATCGATTATAATGGGCGACAAAACTTTGACTCCTGATCAATTGAGAATAAAATTCGATTAAAATTCTGAATTTAATCGAAAGTAATCATAATTGTTCGATTTTCATCGATTATTTATATGTGAAATCGATTAAAATCATGAATATACTGATTTTTCGCTTAAATTATTTTACATGGGTACAAAAAGGTAATGTATTTTAAATTAGAAAGTTACAAATATTCTTTCAACTAGCGAATAGTAACTTCTCAGATGCTGTTAACCCCAAAATAATGTAAACCAGTACAGTTTGACCAGCATATATAATGGACCAGAACATCCTTTGAAAACATGTTGAGAAACGGCTCATTCAATCAATCATGCACAAGTACTGACCAAAAGAAAGTTGCTTATTTAGAGAACAGAAATTTTAGAGGACTATGTAACGATTTCTGATAGAAGAGATACCTGTGCTGATGGTATTACACTTTATTTCACTCTTCAAATCATAAAATCGCCTCGATTACATATAAAACACACGCTTAAATACTCAACCATTTGAGAGAACGAAGGAGAATGAGAGATAAAGACAAATATCAAGAACAGAAAGATAAAGGCAATATATGTGATGAGAAGAAATGGCACCATAAGGCCAAATACCATGCACAGACCACACTCGAACGGGAGCGTTACACTCCCACGTGGAGTTTAGACGCTCTCCGCATTTATCGTTACAGACTAAATAGGGGGTCAGTCAAAAATTCGAGAAGACTACACATATTGAAGGAAAAATACAGTTAGATCGATTTCAATAGAAGAATATCGCTTAAAATCTCGAAGTTGTGGACTCCAACATAATTAGTAGTACATATTAATCTGCCCAATGAACGATGACGAGCAGAGCACAAATACATCCACGCTTGCTTAGCGGTATCGACTACTTGAAATCAGAAGAGAAGATACGATTAAATAAAACTAGCGATCGCAGAAGATGGACGATAGACAACGCTATAAACGAACATCTTCTATGCAAGACAATCCAGCGGATTAGAGAGAAGAGTAGATCAGAGACACAAAGCCGCCATTAGCAACAAATGATACACGTTGATTTTTATTTCTGATGCCTGATTCCTTATAAACTAATTGAGAATGTGGATCATTATTAATATTTTATTGTGAAAATGAAGATGAGACGCTATTAGAACACATAATGAGAACTTCCAACATGATCGGGTTAGCTCTCGTACTGATTGAAAAGTGGATAATGGTTTGAAAGGCTTTGAAATTCTCGATTCGGAAAAGAAAGTGGCCTTCTATTTCTCTAAAACACTTACTCCATCGGTTTATTCAATCCGAGACAACAACGCAGATCACGTCGAATATCACAAAGTCTAAATGTTCAATAATTTTATCGAGAAGTAGAAATCGGGATGAACGAAGTTCATACGAATTCTGTATGGAACATAATGAGTGCTTCGCTTTACGTAATACTTCAAGATACAAAGCGACGATGAAGTTATTGTAGACGTACATAGTTGATTCTAGTGGTACTCCCTTTTGACTTTCAAACATAATATAATTACATTAACAATTTTCTCTCTCTTGTGATAAGTTGCTTTTTTTGAAACATCGAAAAACTTTGGCCCACCCGAAATAGAGTTCAAAATGATTCAGAAAATGGTATCTCTCAATGTTGATGTGAGCCAAAGAACTTCCATCAATCGATTTTGTAGAATGAGTTGTAGCGAAATTTCCGACAGATTCATTATATTGTAACGGTTTTTTAGTTGACATCTATGGAACCGAACTGAGAAGTAAGGCTTCGAATAGTAAAATAATGTCTACTTCTTCAACTTTTGAGTGTTTCAAATTGAACAGAAGAGCAAGGTAGGAAGGCTGGCAAAGATCCAGAAAATGTCCACTTTACGTAAAGTCCTTTGAAGTTATAAAGGATCTTACTAAGAGAGCAAAAGGACATTCCATTTATAGAATGTCAGTTATAAGATATTCTTCTTAATGCTACCGGACCTTTCATGGGACCTTTCTTTTCTTACGCGGGCCTTTCTATATCCAGATGGACCTTTCTCTATTCGATTCGATATATTCCTAGAATTTGTAACGGACCTTTGTATTTTTAGGCGGATCTTTCTTTTTCTTCAGTGTACCTTTCATGTTACTTTTCATATTCTTCAAGAGACTTTGATAAATCATAAGGACCTTTCTATTGGTGTTGCGTTAACGAATGAGTATTGTGAGATTTCGTGCGCAGGGAACGTGTTTTAAAACATTTTTTTGATCATGAAGTGCTTCATTAGATAGAAAATTGAGATCATTAGTTTATGTTTTTGGTAATAGATGCAAGGTGTGGTGGTCATTCATGATTTTTTATGGAAAAGAATACGAACACAGTTGATAGTGATATGAAATTTCTATATTTGTAAAAGAGAGTCTCGTTTGAATTTTTATGTAATGTTCTGTTACATAACTACTGGATTTCATCGAGAAAGGAATACATCTCGAAGCACAGGAGAAAAGATAACAGAAAGCGCGTGGCGCAGAAATAAAAGAATACGAAAATCATTTGTTGAAGAAGGAAAAGAAAACTGTTTTACGCATTGAATGAAAATATTGATTAAAATAAAATTTAAATGTCGTTCGCACAGAAGACACTCTGGAATTTCGCTGTTATTTTATCTTTAAATATTCCTACAATAACGAATAAAGAGAAAATAAAATATCTAGAGTTCGGAATATGAAGATAAATGAATCGAGTATAAATGCAGGCGTTGTTCTTATGATATAAGGATTAATTACATGTTTGTACTAAAAAAATGTGGAGAATGATTTTCTCTAATTTATCTGTGCATCATAACGATAGTTAAATTTTATATATTCAAATAGGAATAAATTAAAAAAAATGAATACTTTTCATTTAAAAAATGCAGACAAATATTTTCTCTAGTTTATTCTCAGGAAGTTTGGAGAATCACTTTCTTTAATCTATCTAATTACATATGATAACGATTGTTAATTTTTAATCAGTTGAAGTGAAAGGAAAAGTCCTTTAGAAAAGAGAAAAGTCCGCTGGAGAAAGGAAAGATCCGCTTGTAGCTTATTGATGTTTTGCCTTTCCTTCAGGTACTTATATATATATAAGTATGTGATATTTCATAGGGTACGTAAGGTCCCACATTTAGTTATGGGACTTTTCGTAAAGTGGACATTTTTTCGATCTTTGACAATGCTGCAAGGTAGATACTAAATGTCAATGAGTATTGTGCAAAGTAAATGAAGCTACTTGTAGGCATGGATTTGAAGCGCTCGAAAGAGTGGAGTGGTCAATGACTGAAACCATGCCGGAAAGTTGAGGTTAGAACTAAAATAGTTCCAGATGAGTTCTTTTTTCTACAACTGGCTGAATTGATGGATCAATCAATGGATCAATGACTCATAAGTACTCAATGATCATCAATGAGTACTTCACTCTTAAATATAATGTCTCGGATGAGCCGTGATTTACGACGTATTGTACGACGCGTCCGATCGGGACACTCTAAGACACATTCTGTTCGTTGACCGTGCGACACCTTTCCTCGCAGCACATGTGACAAATTCATTTAACGTTGGTCAAGCAAGGGCTCCTTCTTTAATAGTCATTTTTGCTTTGAATATTGATGTTACTGTCTTCAAAATCATTTGGGAACTACACTACTGCTATCTTCTATCTCCCTGAGGAGCATGAGATGACAAGGTTTTCAGACCCGGTTAGCTGAGGTTGAGCTGATTTCGAGCAAACCGCTTCGAGCCGGTTGAATCTTGATCATTCATTGCTCGATGAACTCGTAAACAACGGTTGATCGAGATGTAATTTAATTAGGTTAAGTAGATATCTTAGAATATCTGAACACAGTATCCACTGTGCTCCTTATATTAATATGTGGCCTCATGTGCTGAACAATATGGAAAATGGCTTGTAAATGAGTAGAGCACACAGCAACTCAATATGCAACACTTAGCATTCCTACATATTTTGTCAAAAGGACTTGCGTTGCGACACCATTCTTAGTGTCACATGCATACGACACAGTTGAGTTTAGCACGCTACGAACAGGTGCGTATCAGTTCAGGTCAGCTCGAAGTGAACCAAACTATCACATACACCTATTCATAATTACTCATTGATGACCAATGAGTAATTAATTATGAGTGATTATGAGTAGTTATGAGTAGCTAACTATGAGTACTTAAAACTAGTTTTGAGTCATTGATCAATTTAATTAGTTCCAGAAAAAGAACCGAAATGAATTTGTCGTAGTTATCGCCCCCAGTGAAAAAAAGTTAGATTATATCTCATTATGCCAGATTTGAACCGAATTTTGTTGCAAAAAAATTCGGTTCAAATCTGGCATAATGAGATATAATCTGACTTTTTTTCACTGGCCTCGAGCTCTTCGATCGGATTTGCGGTAATATTCTCTCATAGACGGCTGACCTCGACCTTTTCCTGTGATTTCCTTCGAAAATGTTCATTGTAAAGATGGAAAGATTCTGATATAATGATCATCCACTTTTCTGTGTGAATACTTACTTGTAACGATCATTGGTCATATTTTTTTTCTTACAGTTTTGGACAAGGATGTCAACATCTGTATTCAAGTGATTGTGCATTATCCCAGTGTTCTTATTGATGTAAGATTGATGATATTTTCCACCACTTGCACCGTGATATACTTCTGCAGTAGTATTGGTTGATTTATAGGAATTGTCACTAGGTTCTAGAATCATTGGAAAATATAGAGAAATAAGACTTGATTAAATCGCAAGAGAACGCTCATCATTTTAAATTGTGATTTGATACAGAATGAAATATTCCCCTGCAAGACTCAAATCATCACGAATCAGCTTGGAGTCAATTACAACGATTGCATACTTCAACCACTTACAGAAGATCGAAGAGATATTCAAGAAATCTGACAATTTTACTGACAAAATTGAAGAGGATTTAGTCGACGAAGAAGACGATTAAGAAATAGATTCAAAGGCGGAAGAGACGATCCACTGATTATCAATACGTCTTCATACTGTTTCTCGCTCGCTTCATATTGGTCATGTATTGTGATAAGCCATCGTTTGCTCTCATGAACATTCTCACCAAATTCTAAAACCTTTAAAGTAGTTGTCAAACTGCTATTAGTTTTGACTCGACTATGTTTCAGTCACGGTCTAGGGTGCTTAGAAGTAGATTTCATTGACAATGACGTCTTTTATTCTTAAACGGGCAGTTCCGTTCGATTGAGAATGATGGAAACTACGTTTAGAAATCGAAAGAATGCTGAAAACAGGTGTTTCCTAGGTGTCAACACGTTTAGTGTAATGCATATAACTTTTGAACGAGACAACATAGACAAGTCAGGTTTGAGTAGTTTTGTAGATCTTGAGGTGGGTTATCTATTGCACTTCTCATAATCGAAAATTCACGTAATCTTCAAAGGCCACTTTTGCTTTTTCGAGTATCATCGATGGACAATTTTGTGGAGCATCAATGTTCAACGTTATTATAGTAAACCATGCAGTAACATCGCCTTTTTCCAATGGTGAAAACCGCATCTCGCTATCTTGCTCCTATCGAAAGTTATTCGAAAAATACCAACCCTTTTCTATTTCGAAACGGGTAATAGCTCTGAACAGATGATTTGGAAAGGATCGGTATCGTTTATCAAGCGACATCATCCATTAACTTTGCTAAATCTTTTTACTGGATTTCAGCTTTTGATTTAAAAATGAACTTACTCGAACTAGCTTCAGAAAAGCTGTACGGTTCCATATTTTGCACAATATTTAAAAAGTTTGTGGATGTTTTACACTTACTTGGATAAGTTGACGTTTGAAATGCCTTAGATTTACTTGAATTTTCAGCGTCTGTTCGTTGTGCATGCGTCGGTTTCTGATCAAAATTGACAAAAGACCGCAAGTCACTGGTTTCTTCAGATACTAAAACGTATTCTTGTTCCTTTGACCGCAATTCCGATTGGAGAATTTGTTTTGCTCTTATTTCGTCACCGGTAAAAACCAGACATTTATTTCTGAATCCCATCTGTCGTACTGCTTTGATAAATCGTGCCCCTGCATTATGAGAGGGCGTTTCATTTTTACGATTCATATCGGTAACAATACGGAAGGTTTCTTGATTCATTAAACGCTTTCCGAACGTGGATCGTAGAAAGGACAGAGCGCTTTCAGTGGACGATTTCGGAATAAAGTGCACATTTACATCAAGTGCTTTGACTGCTGCATATTCCATGTGTTTTTTGTTTTCCCAATTTTCGTCGAAAATTTGGTCATCAACCCATAACACCGACCATTGACATAAACCCAGTTCGATTTGCCGCATGTAAAAGACGTGTCTTCCCTGTCCTTCATTTCCTTGTCCATAAAATACTTTGTGATTGAAAACAAGAAACGTAGAGTGTGGTAGAAACAAAACTTCGTCTTCTTTCGGATAATTTGAAAAATCTTTGATAGGTCGACCAGTTAACGAGTAAATTTTAAAAAGTACATTTCGTCCTTTAAAAGCGTCTGAGTCCACTATTCGTTTACCTTTTGTCGAGCTACTGAACTGGATCCAAGTAATCAAACTACCAGGTTTGTAAATCTGTAGTTCGTCAAATGTAAGTTGACAAGCTCGTGTAACCCATCCCCAGTAGAAAGGAATATATGAAAGTGCTTTTACTAAATAATAAAGAATAATCGCTGCTTCATTAATTTCATTGTCTACATCTGCGCCAAGCACTTGTCCATTAGCTTTACGAGCGATAAGACTCGCACCGCGATTTAATGATTCACTCCTGGTACCCGTATAAAAGGAAAGGGCAAATGCCAAAGCTTTGGCTTCATCGAGTGGCAGTTTCTTGCCGGAGAAATACGGTTGCGACTTTCTCACGCGATCTTCATGTTCAGCCATCACTTTATCAATATTAATTTCTTCGCGGTATTCGTATTTACGACAAACTTCTTTGAGTTTCTCGAATGAGGAGCCCGTAATGACCATGTCAATCAGAGAAGAGTTGAAACTGTCTTCATAGACGAGATGACTTTTGCGCTCATCTTCAACTTGTTCGGTATCTCCTAATAATGCCATGTGCTCCAGAAACGACTCTACTTGTTCGGTCGCCAATGTTGAATATTCAATCTGATTTTCGTCATTTTCAGTCAGTACTTCGTCTTCATCTGACGACGATGCGTTTTCTTGTGATGGATCCATACCTTTCAACATCTTCAAGTATTTTTTGGACTTCAATCGACCAACCAAGATCATATAGCAGTCGTGTGGCAAACGATCCATATCTTTAGCCAAGGACGTATCATAACCGCAGAGATCATTAAGAATGTTCTTAGTTTTTCTCGGCATTTGTCCACGTTTGCACTAAAACAGCAGAATTTACGGATCAATCATTCTTGATTCCACTCTTGGTTTCTGAAAGCTCTATTTTCCGACGGCAACATAACATCTACCCGCGGACTGTGCTTTTTCTCAATTTTTCATGTGCAACGTGTTCAACTCTCGAAACAACGACGTTCGTTTTCTCACTTCAATCTTTGCCAAAAAGGACGCATAAGATCTGAATTGAGGATGATGGACGTAGAGAAGGGAAGGGACTTAGAGATATTTCAAAGCCTTCGCCTAGAGATGTTTTGTTTCTGTTTCATTAAAGTTGTGTTTGCAGGAAACAGACATCCAAGATAAACCCGGTTTCGATCAGGTCTGCGTAAATGCATGCGAATAATCTTTATGAGGAACTTTCGGAGACCAAGTGATCCCTGATTCTCGGATTTAGGAAAACTCGGAAGCTCACCGGGTTTCCGTATATTTGGAGACCCGGAACGCGAAATTTTCCGAAATTCTGGAAACCCGTGTACTCGTGAAATTTCCAAGTCTCTTGAAATCCGTCAATCCGGAGTGACTTTACCTCTGAACCTCCATCATGGATATTATGTGTAGGGATACTCACAGAGCTGCTCCAAGCTGATGTTACCTTGGGCTTTTATCGATTGGAAACAGAAACCTTAGAAAATGAAAATACATAATTGCGAGATGCTGCATTTAATAACTGAAACTTTATACAAATTGGTTTATTCTTAAGATACAAGCGTTCCAAGAGTGAATATGTTACTTGACAAAATATACCATAGAGCAACTTTTCTCATTTTCGAGTTAAAATTTCTTTAGCAGTGTATGGTTTATTGACGTATGTTTTATCGAATGTCGCGTAATCCATATGGAATTAATATATGAAACATGATGCACCGTTCGCTGCAAACCCAGAGGTTCTATAACTTCGACAACAGCATCCTTTCCAACCCATATGTCATCACACTTTCATTTCCATCCACGGTCTATACCGTTAAACACATCTGCATTCGGCGTTTCTCGCAAACTACCAGGAAAGATATTATATTTCTCCATGACTCTAAAAGTCTTCACCGATAACATATTCCAATAGCACTAATCCCAAGGGTCCCACCAAAACTACACGTCCCAGAAACGAAAATATCAATCATTCCATTTCTATAAATGGGAAGGGGGCGAGTACGGTGGCAGCACGCTCCTGTTTCCCATTATATGACTTAAACATTCACCCCCTATCGTGTTTCATAATACCGACCACATCACAGACGTTTGCGTTCATCATGCCTGTGGAGGGGAAGGGTGAGATATGAATCCGAAATTCTCACTATAAAATTTCAACAGTCAGTTTCAATCGGATTTCCCAAAAAGTATAATAATGTGTACTTTCTCAAAAACTTCATGTTTTCACCATTTTGACCTGATCTTCCCAACAATAACGTTTTTTTTGGAAAATTTGACCAAACTAGTTAGAACCAAAAGCTCTCCAAACAGTGAGAGTTTCATCAAAATCGGCGACCTTTCCCCATGCATGGCGGTAAAGTTTAAGAGAAACAGTGCTACTCAAAAAACCAGCAGGTAACCCAAGCATACCTCTTCCATAGCTAGGTGCGGGTGCGGGTGGGGGTGTGCACCTTCCGTTTACTAATAAACCCACACCCATATCCATACCCCACACCCACACCCACACCCCACACCTACATCCACACCCCACACCCACATCCACACCCCACACCCACATCCACACCCCACACCCACATCCACACCCTACACTCACGCACACACCCCTTCTTAAGATTTTAAGCTGGAAATATGAAGAGAATGTGTTTACCATTATAATGACACCTTGAAAATCCTGAAAATCGCCTTATTTTTCTGAAAAATCTTTTAAATTAAATATTAGGATAAAACACGGCTCTTAGTAAAAAAAACTCACTGGGAAATTTTTACGTTGAAACATAATAGAAGACCCGGGGTCTTTTATTTAAAGGAGGGGGGGCTATTTTCTGTATTTTGAATTTATCAGAAAAAAATGAATAAAGCACTTCTACGTGACACTTATTCTCACTTTAAAGTCACTCTCGTCCTCGCCCACACACCCGTTCAAAAGTAAAACAAACCACATGTTTCTATTCTATCATTGTAATGATCAGCATGTGCGCTTGTGCTCCCACTCCCGACTATTCGAAAAATTGCCCCGCACTGTATTGCACAAAATTAAACATATACTATGTTAAGGACGATTTTATAAGTTACTCTAAGTGTAGTCAGATGTCAAACTCGAAAATCCAGAATTAAATTTCAGAATCCTGTAACACTCCGAAAAACTCTGAAAAATCTAAAGGCGAAAACCGTCCGTAAAAACTCGAAATAATCCTGAAGAAATCTAAGAAAAATTCAGAAAAACCTAGAAGAAAATCTTGAAAAACTTTCAAATCAGGAAGATCTGGCAACACTAGCTAGTCCCCCAAAAGTTTTTGGCAAATAGAATTTTATAAGTTACCCCCTCCCCTAATTTTTGTTTGCTTCCCACACTCCTGGTAAGGATACTCGCATAAAAGAAAGTTAGACGGGCCTTTCCAAGCAGGCCAGGCCAAACAAATAAGTTGGCCGGTACAGGCAGGCTTGGAGTTCAGAAGTCTGTCATAGGCCGACTACGCCTGAAAAAAACGCTGCCTGGTTGAACCTCTGGTAGAGAATGAGCGTGGTCAAGTCTACATCGACACCCACACCCTCAAGATGAGAAGAGAAGATAAAATAGTAATAGAAGTTCTAATTCCTAGGAATTTCGTGTGATTCCAGAATCGAGGGAATTGATTTCGCGGCGGAACTGGCTCCTGAATGTTCAACATTGCGGAATACCCACGGAAAAATTTTTCAACCAAAACAGCGGTTATTGGCGGTTTACCAGTTGCGACTCTCAGCGGTTATAAAGAACCGCGAAAGTCAGACCGTTTATTAGGTTTTTCCACACCGTCCGAAACCACGGTATCCTCAAACTGCAGTTATTAACGATTTTTGAAAAAAAATGAATTCATCATATAATGGTATATTTTACCTGGCATCTATGCGGTAATCCTTGATTTTCCATGTTCGCGACATATCTT